ATACTTCTCCGAACGGTTCGCGGAAATCCTCGGGTTTCCGTTCACCTGTCGTGTATTATGCAATCTGCTCAATGGTTCGGCTTCATCGTTCATTTATATTTTCGATTTGCTGTAAAATGTAACTCTGTTACCTCCTTTTATACCGATTATTATTATTATTATTATTATTATTATTATTATTACTATTATTACAATTATTATAATAATAATTATTACTATTATTTTAATTATTATAATTTTTATTATTACTATTATTAGTCGCTATTATTATTATATTATAATAATAATTATTACTATTATTTTAATTATTATAATAATTATTATTACTATTATTATTATTTAGTTAATATTACTGGTCAAAATACTTTGTTACATAGATAGAGAAAATACATTATGTTCATAATCGACGATGAAAAGAATGACATGAACCTAAGATAAGATAAAAGGAAAGTTAATTATGTCGTTTCAAATTCACGACAGAGCATTTGAAATCGAAAAAATAAGTTACGAAAGAAATTCAAAGAGTCGCAATAACGGTAGCCATTGTTACATATAGGATTTAGGCAATTATATATATTTATCAAATCTGGTTCAGTGACTCGGAAGAATAAAAATCATATTATATTGATTTTTAAAGTCATTCACATCTAGGATAAAAATTCATTCGCTTCCTGTTTTAAATGTTATTTCACAACGCATGCGTTGGACGCATTTGTTTCAAATATAAGACTACGAATAAAATGTAATTCATTAAGGAAAACTTTAATGTAATATAAAATGTTAAAAATAACACGTATATGTATAGTTCATTACTATTAGACTGTCAATTTTTGTGCAGAATAGATACTTTCGTTTTTCTAAATCTTTTTAGTTCAATAATATTTTCAAATTTTTTTAATGTTTCAGCTACTTCGCATTTTATCTGCTGATATTTTTATAGATCCATAAAATCTGTATTCAATAAAATCTGCAGGCGGGAAACTGTAATCTCAGTTGTGTGACTGAACGTTACTATTCATTGATTAAATACTAATTATTACATTGTAAAATGAATTTCTTTTATTTCTACTAGAACGACAAATAAATCTATAAATATCTACTCGATTATCAAATTGATCAACCTGTTAAATACCAGAAATCAACCACAAAAATTCCCACAAAATCGAAGCAACTTAATATAAACAAAACTGAAACAAAAAAGTGAAAACTTACCATAATGTATGGTATTTTTGCATTCTAAACACCTCAGTAAAATTCAGTTTATTCGAATATATTGCAACAAAAATTGACTTCGCAAACTAGTCAATAATTCGTGTTATCCATGTACGACTCGATTTGCCTATTCGCAGCTCGTTAAAAAACGTCGAAAACCACGGCCGATCGCAAAGTGTTAATTTCCATCGAGAATATCAGAGAAGCCAGCATCAAACAGAAGTTCGGCCGGTCAATTAAAGGACTCGTTAGACGAGAGAAGCTGAAGGAAGTTCGCCGTAACCGCGGCAAGTTCGGAAGTCGGTCAATCTCTAATCTAAAAGTTGAAGAGAATCGCACTGTGTCGTTCAGTTATTCGTCGGCTGCACAAAGACCGCGGGCAAGTTTTTTTTCCCGAGGCGCACGTCTCGCGGAAGGGTACGATCGTTCTCGGAACGAAGAATAAATCCGGCAGCCGCGAACAATATGGTCGCGGAAGCGCATAAATTCGCAAGGAGCAGGCACGCGAAGGGGCGACGCGACGCGTTTCCTGCGCGGAGACCGCAATAAGAGGTCTCGCTCCGCAGTCGCAATATAACGTCGTGGGGGCAATAGGTTGTGCAGGGGTCCTGAATAACTTTCCGAGGAAGCAGGTGCAGAGGGGAGGCGGCGAAAAGAAGGTCGTAAGACCCGCGTAACGGTACTTAGAGTAGGCAATATCCGCTTGTAAGTCGCCGCGTCTCCCGCTGCGTCATCGCATTGTCATCGAACTATGACGAATTTCTCGTCGGGAGCCGTTTCACGACCAGCAGCGACCGTCGATGCAGCTTGCATGCCGTCCCGGTCTGCGCCGCGAGAACCGAGCTGCAGCTCTCTCTCTCTCTCTCTCTCTCTCTCTCTCTCTCTGTTCTCGCGATTTCTCGTTCTGAACGGTACCTTTACTTATTAGAGTTTGACTCCTCTAAGCCCGTTAGCCTTTAATTAAAGGATCCAGGAGCGGACGCGGCGTCAGCAAACATACTTGAAATTATAGCTACCATTATCGGAATTGGTGGCCGAATCGCTGCACGATCTACGGCTTAATTGGCCGACGAAAGGAAGGGCCTGCCAGATAAGAGAGTGAACCGGCCGTGAGCCGTGTGAATGGGTGGCGTAATGGCTGCGGATTTGCGTTCCGACATTTTAAGTGTCGGTTAACGCCGTTTTACAGGATTTCAGAAATTCTTGCGATCGCGTGCCACCGACTTCTCCGACGTGTCGTAAGCATCGATTTCGTGTTTTCCTTTAACCCATTGCGGTACCATTACGTTCGCGGTCGCAATGTTTAGAACTTTATCGATTGTAAGAATTCCATGAATGAAAAGGAATATTTATTTATTCAAGAGAGAGAGAGAGAGAGAGAGAGAGAGAGAGAGAGAGAGAGAGAGAGAGAGAGAGGGAGAGAGAATAAAATTTTAATCCGACTTAAATGACGCAACAAGATTCGTACTTAACGGATTATTGCTAGAAATCTTCATCGCGAGTCAGATTCATCGAAATACAGCAAGGTTAATCGGAATTTAAAGCAGCTCGACGAAACCATTGAACATTTTCCTCGCCTTTTTGTCACGTCAGAACTGTATATTTTATTTTAATAATTGCAAACGTATAATTTGATTATGTACGTAACAAAAGATCAGGATATAGTGTTCGTTTTCACCTTTGTATAAATGTTTGATGCATAATCTAGTTCAATGAGGATCGATTTTTCTTCTACGGTTCCTGACGTTAGAAAAATGTTTCTATAAGAAATTTGTAGTTAAATTTCTTTTATTATAACAGAAATTGAAGTTTAAATAAATCCAATTTTTCTATTGTTTTAAAACGATATACAATAATATCCAGACTGCGGATCTTTATGCAAATTCTTATTTGCACGCGTCATTTTGCAAACATTAGTATCAAAGAAAAGACTTGTTTGTTAACTGAAAGATTACTTATCGTAAAAATATAATAAATATGTTATTTTATAAAATACAAATTTCTCTGCATTGATTGCACGATATGGCAGCTACATAGATATTTCTTTCTTTCTTTAATCATTTTATCGAGTTGAAACTAACGTATCAGTATTTTTAAGTTCTTTTCATATTTTTACTGTTTTGTACTCGGTCTACTTATTTTCGTCGTAAATACATAAAATCCGCAGTCTGCATAGTAATTTATATCTATTATAGACACAAAGTAATGCATATTTTTATTCTACATGCAATTACTAGACTATGTGCAATTACTAGATTTTATGCATGTCTGATAAAATCGACTGAATCAATCGTTGAAGATATTGCAAGAATTTAAGAACATTCTCGTATTTTCTCGAATGGATCGCGAAATTATCAAAGGAAGTAATACGATTTTCTTCGATTTCTGTCTCTTACAATCGAGTTCGAAATTTTTTTATTCCGCATAATGATCCGCAGCCTAGCAATTACCATTCTAATTCAAGTTCCATTAACAGCTGCAGCGCCGACGACAGGCTAAAGTGATTCATCCAAGACACCACTTTGCACACTAACTAAGTGGTCCATCGAGCACAAATGAGTTATCGGATAGAACGTAAAAGATCGTTTCCATTATTCAAACGAAGTCGTACAGAAAGTATCTTCGCGTACGCGAAAAAAAGAAAAAAAAGACAATGTATCGCGAGTGCATTGAGAGCCAACAACTATTGCACTTGGAGCGTAAAGTCAGTGGCCAGGAAGTGCCGACTACTTTTATCCGGTCCGCGTACGATACCTATTCGCTGGAATCGCAATTAAAATTTCTATATAGACGTTTCCCATGCAGGCTTTATATAGGCTAACCGTTAGGTCAATATTGAATTACATTTTCCATGTGGGTCTATACGCGCTCGTATCGCCGTCTATGTACCTTACATAATGGTAGGCGTAGGTATACCGACGTGTCGGCCACAATAGTGTCCACGCCGCTTCGATCCCATCAGGTTCATAACATTTGGGTGGCCAGCGCGGGCCGGATGATAATTAGCCGGTGTAATCTGATGCAACGTAAGCGAATCCTTTTTGGAGATCGCCGGTATTCGCGGAACCGTATGGAGAGAACACGAATTAATTATTAAGTCGTTTCCTACAGAATACGTAATCCCTTTCATATTTTTGCCAGGTGAACCTCGAGGCCGTGATCGCATCCTCCAATTTATAGTTAATCGATTTGAATCTATGTTAAAAATCTGTTACAATTAAAAATTTCTGTGTTTAAGCTTCTATTAGAGATATATTAGAGTTTTTATCTTCATTAAAAATCTATTACGATTCATATTCACGATAAAAATTCGTTATAAATAAAGTATGTTTTTATATCTTCCATATCGTATGTTCGTTTGAAAATTTAAAATCTGGTGACTGAAAGTTAGTTATGACTAGACAGCGGATTTTATGCATTTATAACAAAAACTAATAGATGCGACTAAAGATAATAGACAGCTTAAATGAGTTTAAGAATATCGATTTGCTAGTTGTAATTTATTAAAATTATTAAACGAGGAATGACATTTCTGCCAGTCTTCTGTTCTCTACGATCGCTTCAGACAATTTTTATATCGCATAAAGATCCGCAGTCTAGTTCCGACTGTTTTATGATTAGCTCGTCGAACACTGGAATGAATTCATATTGAACGAGACATCGAAGTTGAGCGAGCGAAAACAGCTTTCGAAAATGATTTGTTCCTCAGAGATTTATGTAGTTCCTGATACGAACGATTCAATCGGTCAGGCTCGCGCAGCCGGCTGGTTAATTGGTCGACTACTCACCATATAGATCATCATACGTAGCAACCTCCACACCCCTGGCATCCTGGAGGTCCCAGCCTCTCACGATGAGATACGCTTATCTGCAAAGACACAAATGTCCATCGTTAGAATACGTTTTAATATCGAAAAAGGCCTAACAGCCGGCAAGCTGCCGGTATGGTCTCGCAGCCGGATCTATTTTAATTTATCCGACCAGCATGGTCTAGCGAGCAAATTAACTGAACACCGTCGGCCAGGTTGCGGTTCGAATCCCAAGGAGGTCTCGGCGCAAAATTGATTTGCTGAGAGAAATCATGGTTATGGGGTTTCGAGTGTACGCGTACTCGATCCGTTCCGCGGAATCAGGATACCCGGCTGCGTTCAAGATCGGCTAACTATGAGCGATCGAGATTATTAGTCTCGAAACTCTTGCCTGTGCCGCTTCTATGCCGACCCTCCGTTCGAGATTCTATCAGCGCTGTAATTTTGTCCACGCTCCGAATTACGTCTCGAATCATGGACAAAAATCACGGAGCCCCTTGAGCTCGCTCGACGTTGTAAAACTCGCGTTAAAATCACCAAGAGCGAATCGAGAATGTAAAACTCTCAGTCCGGTTGCGAACGTACACGGAACTCGGGGCGGAACTTTCAGAAGCTCGTTACGGTTCAGATGTTAAAAAAACACTTTGGCGACTACAAAAGATGGTTTAGTTCCCCAGGCATTAAGAACTTCGCTTATTATAATGTCCAAGGCTCCTGAACTTTCGAATATTGTAATATCCGGCTGTGCACCTGTCCGCGATGTCTTAGGAGTTTCCGGAGCATACATATCCGGCTAAAGTTATTCGGAAAATTTCAAAAATATGTTACACCGTGATTTCAGCATGCTATAGAACGTTCTATTACAAGACAATTTACACATTAATCCTCGGCGTAATCGATTCAAATTTGGCAAAAAAAGACATCGAAAAATATGGGCCACCTTCCGAGTACATATCAGTTCAACAAAATCCCCAAACATGACGGTAGAAGCGTTCCAAACGATTGTTCACCGAAATTTGTCGCCAGCCGAAGCGTTCCAGAAACGGAAAAGATGTTTCTCGTCGAGGCTGCACGAAGAGCCGCGTCTCGTCATTCCCAGAAACAACTATCCACTCCGTAAATCATACGATTTTCTTTAACACGCTGCAAGTTGTCCGGTCCATTCAGCCGTTATTAGACCGGATGATTTACGCCGTCGATAAATCTATTAAACCGTGTACAACATAATTGCAAAACAAACGGCGGGATCGCTACATAATAAACGAGGATGAATGGCTCCGAAGAAACAACCGTCGTTGGGCAATTCCCGTACCGGTTATATTCGGTATCCGTGATTAGCGTTGACCCGGCGATGATTATCGTCCGACTGTTACGCCGATTTATCGCGCGAGATAGTCCGCGAAGATAGTCCCACCGTCGCGACCGTTGTCTTTATTCGACGGAACAACCTACTCCGCGTACGCGGAACGGGAAGACGAGGAAGGTGGGTGGGGGGGTTACAAGCGGCAGAATTCGCGGGGTAACCTACTTACGGCGCTTTGTTGATTGGGACGTACCGCGAAACGAAGTCGCTAATGAATCGATAAGCGATGGGTTACCGGTCCGGTCCGGCCTGTTCCCCTGTTCCCCGGAGCGTGGTTCTAATGCTAGTTTCGCGTACCAGCAGATCTATGATCAACGACCGGGACCAGAGTACATCGCTGCAACAATATCTCGTCCAGCGATCCGTATCGCCCATCGGGCGCGAATAAACGAACGATAGGAAATCGTAATTACATGGGAGACCGAGCGTTTGCTTTTGCTCGGTTACGCATCTTATTACACGGCAATAAATATGCAAACGCAGTCGCGCGATCGCGTTTAGCGCACTCGTGCCACTCTCTGATCGATTCGTGGTTTCAGTTTTGTAATACTATATTCCCGCTGTCTGGGTATGTATAATGTAAAATACAAATGCCCACGCCAAGCAGGAAGAGCGAAGTACGCTCTTAGAAGAAAAAGGCAGGGAAGGTTTACAGTGTCCGATGGCGAGGGGAAGCTGCGAGATTTGCGAACGGGATAGAGGGTCGTCGAAACACCTGTTAGGAGATTGCGAAGGGATGGAGAAGACAGATCCGACTGTGGGAACAGTGTTGCAGGGTCGCTGGAAAGACGAAGTTGTAGAATGGCTTAGGAATGTAGAACAAAAATTAGAAAAAGGCTGCTGGGAAGGGAGGGAGGAGTGTGCAATAGAGAAAGTATATTGTAAATCTGTTTCGCTTCCACTTGTTACATCTATTCTGTTCTATTGTCGAGCTGTGCTCGAGTCAGTTTTTGGATGAAAAGTTTACATTATGGTGTGGTATGGTTTATGGTATGGGCAATGCTAATTTCTGGCTAGTTTTCAAAATTCATTTCTATTGCAATATATCGGAGTTAACTGAATTTGATCAGACTGTTTAGGATGTAATAGAGTTAAAGTATCATACACCATGATAAATTTTAACTTTCTAATTTCAGTTGGAATCAGTTGGGACCAGTTTCGCCTACTGCGGGATCCGACAGACTCTACCGTAATCATCATTGCTTGTTAATGCGTGTTATTTTCTTTCCAAGTTTAAGTGTTTTTTTATCTGCAACTACGAAATATTTTGCAATAAAACTATACGATACATGTTATAATTACTGGTCTGTATCGTTGACACAAGTTCGGACGTTCCGCGATAAAGGGTTAACCAAATGACTTCGATTTCGCAGGAATTTTTGCAGTCGATTTTCAGCACTTGCCGGGCCCTGTTGTCCGGAAAAATTAATTTATGGCCCATTGGCGATCGGAGTCGATGACTCGGAACGACAACCAGACAAAAATGAAATAACGATCGCGGCCCGACTAAAAACAGTAAAACCGTAAAAACCTGTTCTCCGGCGAGCGTTCGTAAAAGCTCGTTCCGCGATTAAGTATGTATTTACTAGTTGCTTTAAGCCGGGTCCCTTCGGCGGATCGGCGGCGAACATCAATCGGTCGGCGCGCCACCGGATTACTATGAATCCATGATCGACTTTACGACCGTCGCCGTCGCGGAAATCGAGGTAACGCGAACCCAATCGTCGCGGAACCGCTCCGAGCGCGATCGGCGCGCCGTGCCGCCGGTTCCCAAGCACATTTGCGGTTTCGTACGGTGTTCGAGGCTCGGTTTTTTGCCGAATTAAACGCATCGCTTGGCCGATCCTCTCGATTGACAGCGATCGCCTTACAGCCTCGTTTTCATAATGACCGGGCGGACGCGATGATACCACCGCTTCGAGCGGTCCCATTCTTCGCTCGTCGTCGATCGCCGGCCGCTTCTACGCCTCCTATTGATCCTCTAACAACACCAACTGTTCGACACTTTTTTCCAGCCGCGATCTGTCTCCCGGAGCATCGGATCTGATAATCCATCATTTCTTCTCGCCGACTCTTGTTCTTCCTTCCTTTATCTTTTTTTCCCCCCTCCCCGGCACCGTCAAGATGAAGTTCTCGCTTGTTGGAACTTTTTTTCGATCGGGTTTTAATCCTGATCAGGGCAACGTTTTTGTCAAACTCCGAGAATTCAACTGTATTCTTTCGAAACACGATCATTGATCCAGACGAGAGCTGACCGCAGTACGACTTCCTCGAGCCTTTTTTCTCTCGTTCTCTCGCTCGCCGGCTTTCGGCGCGATCCATTAACCGTATGAACGATACGGGAGTCCTTTTTCATTCACGATTACCGGGTTGTAAAGTTCGAAAGGCGGTTTTAATTACCTTTTTAGCAGGCTGCTCTCTCTCTCTCTTTCTCTTTCTCTTTCTCTCTCTTTCTCTTTCTCTTTCTCTCTCTTTCTCTTTCTCTTTCTCTCTCTTTCTCTCTCTCTATCGCGCTGTTCTCGCTGCGGACCCGTTAAATATTCGAGACCCGGAGTAGGAAACCTGTGTTTATCGAATCCGTTCTTATTCTGACACAGAGACGAAGTGGCTTTATGGTCGAGTTCTCTAACAGTTGGCGTTTGTATCTTCGATTTATTCAGTTCATTTGGTTATACCACGAGTCAGAGCAAACATCGTATGCACGGTAGATCTAACACTTTTTGTCTACCACGTCAACCGTACGTGGGCGACGGAATTATTTGCACAGGTCCGAAGATTTATTTTTAAGCTGATCCATTATTTCTTCCTAATTGTACTAGGACCCCGAAAAGGTGAGAACGTTGAAAAATGATGTACAACTTGACTTTACAATTTAGTATTAGATAATACACTCTGTAACATGTTTTGTCGTTTTTGTCGTGCCAATCGCGAAGTGCCAAATACCATAAAAATTGAATAAAATATCCAATGAATCAGGTACATTTTGTACCTTTGTTATTTTGGGACAAACAGAGTACGTCAGTAAATGTCAACCATTTTATACTTTACGATTTTCACTTATGTCGGTACGTTGGATTATTTTGCAGAGTTTTATACGAAATCGACGCTAAATTAACGACATTTCGTTCACGTAAGCTAACGTTCCAAGCAACATACTTTTCAAGGCACTCATTCAATATTGTACGTTGTTTAACCTTAATGCAATATGTAATTTGAATTAATTGCCAGAAGCTAGATACTGAAGCAACAATATTAACACAATAACGTGATGTAATGTTAACGATGTTAACCTCGATACTACATGAAGCAGCAACGTAAATCACCTTGACGAATATCAAAACGAAAACGTTCACAGGCGACCGAGTGAATTAGCGAATCTGCGGCCGCGCAGCCCGCGATTGCAAATTGTTGACAATTAAAAAATCGGCGTGCACGGAACGCCTGGGATTTGGCTCTACCGCGCGCACATCTGGCAANTCTCTTTCTCTCTCTTTCTCTTTCTCTTTCTCTCTCTTTCTCTCTCTCTATCGCGCTGTTCTCGCTGCGGACCCGTTAAATATTCGAGACCCGGAGTAGGAAACCTGTGTTTATCGAATCCGTTCTTATTCTGACACAGAGACGAAGTGGCTTTATGGTCGAGTTCTCTAACAGTTGGCGTTTGTATCTTCGATTTATTCAGTTCATTTGGTTATACCA